CACCCAAAACGGAGAAAACGCAGATCTTCACTTTGGCCGGAGTTTTTTAAAAGATCCGTTTTCATGTGAAAAAACTCCGTTTTCGTGTGGATGGCAGGCCAAAACGTAGAAAAATATCTACGTTTTGGCAGATCCCCGGCTACGTGTGGACAGGGCCTGTATCCATAAAAAGGAGATGTGCGCATCTGCAGAAGGCTGCTTCCATTGTTAAGAGGCTGTTCATTTCTTCTGTGCCTACTAATTTAATCTTTTTGCAACTAAGAGGGCCTCAAAATCGCAAAATCGTGCTTCAACAGCACAATACCCTGATGAGAGGCGAGCAAAATATCGGTAACGCTTTACGATAAGTCTCCTAATTAACGTTAGTGTATTATTAGGTGTTATTAAACAAAGGACCTTTTTATTAAAGTTCCCAATGTTGATAACCATTAAGTGTCCTTAAGGTTAGGACAAAGGGCCAGGTGGTGTCTGCTTAGTCATGCATTACTTAATAAATATCCTTAGGTTCAAGACTTTTTTTTTTGTCATTGCACGGTTTTACGATTGCATTAACTTTGTGCTCATTAAGTTTACTATCAGTGTGTGAATGTGTGTGTGAATGGATGAATGATACACTGTAGTGTAAAGCGCTTTGGAAGCCTTACTCTGAGAGGTGCTATACAAGTGCGGGTCATTTATCATTTACCGTTAAAGGCAGCTCACGTAAGGATGTAGTTAAATAAAATAACATGGCTAAAATAAATGTTATGCTCTCGCCCTCTCTCTCTCTCTCTCTCTCTCACACACACACACACACGCACGCACGCACGCACGCACACACACATCTTTTGCACACAGCCAGTTTAAGGTGCAAAAACATATACATGTGAACACTAATGGGACAAGTCTAAAACTGTAAACATATTATAAATGGAAGCAGTCACACGTGGTATCAGGATGAGCTAGCTACGTGTAAAGGTGCTGTAGTTGTCATGGTTCTGCTGTTTTGCTCCTCTGAGCCTCTTTGCAGGTGGGCGTGTCGGAGAGGCTCCGCTGCGCTGATTCAGTAAGGCCAGGGGATTTAAGGATTGGTGTGTCCACACACCAGCGCCGGTTGATGCTCTCACTTTGGGTAGCCTCCAGCCTCGTCCTGAACTCTAGTAAATTCCTGAACGCTCGTCTTGCTCGTTCTGTTTTAATCACCTGTCCTGCCTTCAGATCAACCACCGGATCTCAGCCTGAGCTTCTGCTTCCCTGGAGTGTGTGTTCAGCATCGTCACTCATCTCCCCAGGCCACCTGCTCTCCGCCGTCCACCTGCCCTGGATACCCGTCAGCCAAACCTCACCTGCCTCATCCCTCTCTACCACCGACCAGATCTGACCTACCTCCTCCTCGCATCCATCCACAGTTCCGGCTCAGCAAGATTACCCTTTCCTCAGCTTTCACCTTGGTTGTCTAGTTGCTGGTTTAACCCTCCATGTGTTTTTTTATTTTAGATCCCGGTCCTGTTCCCGCTCCGTTCCGTGATTAAAAAGTGGTAAGCAGTTCTTGTAGAACCTGATGAGGGCTGAGAAGTTAACTCAGCAGTTAGAACAGGTGTGTCTGAGCAGGTACGTACCAAAAACAATGCTTCTTGGTTAGCGCTACAAGGCTGTGTGTGTGCACGGAGGCGTGGGTTTCAGCTCCTTCCAGAAGGGCAGGGAGAGCAGGAACGGGAGCTAAATCCATCCAAATTTCAAAATCTCATCCTTGTCTCCTTAATGATGTCACCTCATAGATTCTGGTTTTAAAATGCAAAGAAAATCACAAACATTTTCCTTCAAGGTGGAGCTCCTGCAACAAGAAAGCCAGTCCCATACATCCAGAAGCTCATGCTCCACATCCGTTTCCTCCACGTGTCAGCGATCTTCGCAGGCGACATTTTTCTCTCACCTGGCTTCTCGTGACGCAATCATCTGAGGTTTGCTAACATCTTGTCTGAGTTGTCTGATGCATTTCCACATTTGTCTTTGTTTCGTGCAGATTCACTTTGTCTTTTAATGTGGTCTCCTGTCATATCAGCTGTCTGATCTGTTGTAGATTTCCACCACCCTCCCTTCCTTTGCATCACTGTTAATTGGTTTACATGCAATTAATTTACTACCAGCGTCCACACCAGCAGTATCAGATTATTATTATTATATTTTTACAATTGGCCAATTAATTATTGCAATATTTTACCACAATAATTAAAATACTCATTTTAATATCTACTTTTTACCACTTTCTGCAAAAAAGAGCTGTTTTTTTTTTCTTTTTTGCACCTCTCAAACTTCGATGGACATTCCCATGTAGGGATGGGTACCGTATTCGAAACTTTTTTAGGCACCGACCAAGCACCGAGTCACGTGATATGAGACGGTGCCTTGTTTCGATACCTGATTTCCCGAGATAGACAGCAGCCCATGCGCAAGAGCGTTATGTCGTCAGTTGCTGCGGGCGAGATGTAAACAGAGCCTGCAGCATGGTAGAACGAACGCTGGTAGAAACGCTAAAGTTTGGGTCTACTTCACTAAATGCGATGGGTGACTGGGTGAGGCTGATAACGACAGTGTTCTAAGTAAGTTACCATCGTCTTAATCTGCTCCAGCAGGTAAATGAACTATTTAAGATAGCATTAGCTTGATAGTTTAGCTTCCGTTGCTAGCAGCTAATGATGCATTCGCTTTCTCCTCTGTGCTCGAAAAATCCAACTTCCGAAGAGGAAAAATCAACAGTTTGCGGCAAAAGGAATGAAGATGCGCTGTAAATTTAGTTCACAGCAGAGATGTTTGCTTCAGTTTATTTTCAGTTAATAATATAAATTGTCCAGAGGCGAAAAGAGAGGAAAAGGAGTCCATGAAACTGGGTTTTAGTTTGTGAAACACCACCGTATTAAAATACACACCGTTGTATAGTACAGAAGTCTGTTCAGCTTCATTTATAGTTTATAATACATGGTCTCCTCATCATTAGGTTTTATTTTGTATCATTTAGAAACAGATGTGGTTAAAACTTCTCATGTTGAAGAATGTTGTACTCTATGATGATAACATACTTTGTATGTTATTTATCATGATATCAAATATATATATATATATATATATATATATATATATATATATATATATATATATATATATAAAGTGCGAAAAATAATAAATTAAAAAACACAATTAATTATTAAACACTAAAAGTATCAAAAATTGGTACCGCTAAGTACTGGTATGGATTCGTAGGTACCGGGATTTGGTACCAAATTGATTCAAAAGTGAAAGGTACCCATTCCTATTCCCATAGATGTAGTTAAAGTTAAAGTCCCATTAGTTGTCACACACACAGGTGTGTGCGCGAAATTTGTTCTCCGCATTTGACCCATCCCCTGGGGGAGCGGTGAGCTGCAGACACAGCCGCGCTCGGGAACCATTTGGTGGTTTAACCCCCCAATCCAACCCCTTAATGCTGAGTGTCAAGCAGGGAGGCATTGGGTCCCATTTTTTCAAAGTCTTTGGTATGACCCGACCAGGAGTCGAACCCTGATCTCCCAGTCTCAGGGCGGACACTCTACCACTAGGCCACTGAGAAAGGACATGTAGCACATGATAACAGCTAATGATGATCAATCATGAGTGAATGTATTTGATATAGCGCCTTCTAGAGTCCTGGATCCCCCCAAGGTGCTTTACAACACAATCAGTCATTCACCCATTCACACACACATTGACACCCTGGTGGCGTTTAGCTATAGTGTAGCCACAGCTGCCCTGGGGCTCACCGACAGAGGCGAGTCTGCCGGCGCCACCGGTCCCTCCGAACACCACCAGCAGGCAAGGTGGGTTGAGTGCCTTGCCCAAGGACACCACAACAACAACGACAGACTGAGCGGGGCTCAAAAAGTTTTCAGTTGACAAAAATAAACCAAAAGGTGGTCCAACTTCACAAGAAGCTGAACACAGCAGAAGGTGGGGGTTAACGATACGTCTCGTTGTGATGAATGTGTGTTTGCATTCCTAGTCGGCAGGAGAATGGGCCCAAAGCCACAAAGGTGTTGAGTCACCCGCTAGACCGGGGGGGGGGTCTGAAGAACTGGGTTGCACACAGCTGCAGGATGGGAGGAAGTTAACAAACACGGGCGATGCTGGGTGATGCACGGGGACGTGTCCACGTTAAAGGGTGAGAGGGGACAGATGACGCTCATCAGGTTAGTCTCCGGTGGAGCTGAATCGAACCGTTGTGTCATCTGCAGCAGCGGCACATTCCTCGTGGTGTTTTATGGACGTTTTACTGTTCAGACACGATGCCCGTCACACTGACGGATGGCTCGGTTTATTTATTTACTTCCTGCTGAGTGATAAAAGAAAACCGAGGCTTAAACTGTCAGCAGGCGGCTAATATTTCCTCAGGAGGTGGCATGAGCCCTGCTCTTCTCTCGGCTTGTTTGTGCAGGGATTCGGCTCCTGTTATGTTTCCCTGCAGCTATAAGCAGAGGTGAGAAAACACTCTCCCTCTTTTCAGACCTCCCCCCCCCCCCTGTCTTTGACCCTTATTAGCTACGGTGAAGACTGGTGGCAGGCCATTCATTCAGAGGTGAATTGTGAGCACACCTGTGTGAGGGTGTGTCCCAAACTCCCGCCACCCTTCCTTCTCCCATCTTTCATTCCCCCCACCACCTTCCCCGTCCTGACTCTGTCCCCGTCTCCGTCCTGCGGCTGATCCATCGGCCTCTCCTGACTGAGAACCACACGGGGATCACTTCACACCTCGGCTCTGTTTGTTTGGCCCGGCCTGTCATCCTCTCTCCCTGCCTCACACTAAACCAAATAACTCGGCGTCGATGAGGGAACGCCCACCCCTTCTCATTCATCTGTGTTGATAGAAGTAGACTGGCCCAGGAATGAAAACACGGCCACATAAAAAACTTCCATCCATGGATTTTTGAAAGCAGTAATTCCTGTAAAACACACACACACACACACACACACACACACACACACCTCCGTACCTTTGCAGGCCTTCCGGTGTGAGATGGCTTTGGACAGGTCTCTGTAGTAGCCCTCCTTGCAGTAGTGGCAGTGACGACCAGCTGTGTTGTGCCGACAGTTGAGGCAGACTCCCCCACTCTTCCTCCCCGACAGTTTGTAGAGCTCCATGTTGAACCGGCACCTCCTGGCATGAAGGTTACAGTTGCAGGCTGAGGAGGAAGCATGGAGCGGAGGAAACAAGGTTAGTCAATGCTACAGAACGTCCCATGAACCAGCAGAGGAATTTCAATGGAGGTTCACCTACTAAACATGGCCACTGCACGCGCACACACACACACACACACACACACACACACACACACACACACACACACAATGTACAGATTATTATTGTCACAGTTTTTTTTTTTTTTTTTTTTTTTTTTTTTATCGGAAACAGATCGCTTTTATTCAAGTTAAGTTCATAGCCGGAGAACATACTAAAGTTGTCCAAAATCCAGAGTACCGCTGGGAGGGACCTGAGTGGATCAGAAATATACACATACACACACACACACACACACACACACACACACACACAATGTACAGATTATTATTGTCACAGTTAAACCAAAACAGCTCCACCATTTCTCAAATGAACTTTGACATTACCTCCGATTGTAAAGGAATTACTGTCATGATCTGCGTCTTTCCCCATGTGTCTCCTAATGTTTCTCCATCCCTCTCTAGATTCCCTTTTGTGTTCTCTTAGCGCCCTCATGTGTCCTTTGTCTGCATCTCTGTTATGTGTCTTAAGTTGTAGCCCTTCAAAAGCATTCCTCCCAGGTCCTGTGTCATCCAGTCATCCTCAGCCCCTCTAGTTGTAGCTCCAGCCTCTTGTTCCCCAGCTCAGTATATGTGTGTGTGAGTTTCAAGCAAGACTTGAAACTTTGACCCTTGGACAAACATTTCTACAATAAACGTAATAAAATCCTCCTGGGACTGGAGCCTGTGCTCCGCAGCCTCACCTCTGCCACTGGTAACCAGTACAGCTGTGGCTGCCTTGTAGCTCATCACCATGCAGGTCATTTATCATTTCTTGAATTGCAGTATTTTTATTTTTATGGTAGTAATGCTATTGTTTTGATGTGTTTCGTTGGTTGTTTATGGGACTAAGATGTATCTGGTGTAAGTTAATTAATATCCACTGTATATTCAAATAAATGAGCCCAATTAAAGAATATAATTAAATAAACAAATGGCTAAAGAACATTTATTCTTCAGGCTGTTGACTTGAAAGAGTTGCTGTGTAGATATTTAAAATAAAAAATTAGTAACTAAGGAATAACTGTGGAGTTGCTTTTTCCAATGTGCAGTGGGTGGGTGGACTTGGGGCGGGGGGTGGGGGTGGGGGTGGGGGGGTTGACACACATGGGCAGTCTCGCCTTGGACACCAAATTACCTAGAGCCGGCCCTGGTTGTTCAGACTGAGCTCAGAGCATGACGTGCTTTGTAAATTAGAGCATGTCATACACTTCGAACACAATATTGACACATTTGGAAAAGCTCCTCTCTTGCAGTTTGGTCAAATTTGCTTTTTTGCACTGAATTGACGTTAAAATAGCAAAATAAAGTGTTTTGATTCAGAAACAGCAGAGTTTCATTTCTACGTGGGTGATAACAAGGGCAAAGTTTTCATCTCCTCCCAAACTTTTTCCTTTAATCGGGGTCCTCTCCTCTTCTCTCGTGCGCGTGTGTGTGTGTGTGTGTGTGTGTGTGTGTGTGTGTGTGTGTGTGTGTGTGTGTGTGTGTGTGTGTGTGTGTGTGTGTGTGTGTGTACTGTACCAAACAGAAAGTTAAGGCCTGGCATCACCACCCCTCTGTGGGGAGTGAAAGCGCGTGTGAAACGCCTCTCCAATGCTTGTTTACTGGCACGTAAAGTTGCCATGGCCGGGTTTAATTAGCTGGATGATGTTTATTCATGACTTTAGGCAGCGGAGGGAACAAGACATGCCCAACTTCATTAAGGCCGGCTGTCCAGGACGCGAGTCCTTCAGAACCGGCACAGCAGAACAATTCATGCATTATTAACGTCTGTGTGTGTGTGTGTGTGTGTGTGTGTGTATCTGGGTACCCTGGTTATAAAGAAGGAAGCTGAAGGTTTAACTCAGCTTCCTTCTCACTGACATGTGTCTACATACAGTTCACTTAAAAAGTAATTTATGTGTCTGTTTAAACCCCGGAGACTCTGTAACTCCTCTCCAAGGACCTCATTACAATATCTAATACGTATATGGAGTAAACACACACAGCAGATCCAGGTTTTGTCGGCAGTGACTCGCTTGTCTTCTGTCTAGTGGAGCAGCTGGAGTTTAATTAGAGATGCAACAATTAAAACCCAAAACTTAAATAAAAAAAATTGCATTAAGTATTTGAGTTCTTCTGTTATTTTGCCATTTTGAGATGTGTTTCTGTGTAAAATGTATAAAGTATTACTTTCATACAGATAGCTTCCAGAACAGCCTCTGTTCATAGAAATAGAGTTAAGGACTGATGCTCAGTCAATAACAGGTGTTTTGTTGCCATCTTTTTAACTATGGATTTGATAAACTGGTCATTCAACGCGATTGATAAGATTTTTTCAACGATGAGAACGGAGGAGGGGGCTCCTACATGCCAGCAGGGGACACACCCGGCGGGGTATATGCTGGATTCCTGGAAGGCGTGGAAGTTCGTATGCCTCTCCCAGCTGTCCATTGAGGACGTCGAAGACGTGTGGATGTTTGGCCTGATGATCACTGGATTTCTTCTGATTGGAGTGGGAGGATATCTTGTTTTCTGGAAATTTGGGAAGACGGGAGCAATTGGAGGGCGACCCGCACCCACGGAAAGCACCGTCCGTGTGGAGACCTCACAGACTGACTGGGATGTTACTCGAGGTGAATCGTAAGCTGGACAATGTTCTAGCTGCGATACCGGTATTAGTGCGCAAAATGGATGCCATCTCGGAGAGGGTCACCGGACGGTGTGGACAAGTTTACAAAAACCTAAATTGGCTTCACTGAAGGACTGGAAATGATCAGTAAAGACTGAAGGCAGAGAGGAAAATTATCTCAGCCTGACCCAAACAAAGTCTTGTTATCAGAATCTGACGCCAGAGCAGCCTCAAGATGCTAACAACAAACCCCCACGAAGGAATGCGGACAGATGCTGTGAAAACCCCGGCCTTCGGATTGGTGGACTTCAGCCTGGCGAGGTCATGAACCTGCAGGAGTCAATGTGCTCTGCGCTCCTCCCAAGATCTCCCTCCCACCTGTGGCTACAGTGGCTGAGCGCCGTAGCTGGCTGCTCTCGCTGGGGAAACAGGATCCCAGCCCCCCCGCCCCCCCTCCACTAGATGGGGCTGTCACGTGTATTATGCTGAGTCACATTTTTACGTGACTCAAGGTGGTACAGCTTCTTAAAGGGACATGAATTATGTCAACCTACACACATCTTTTCATTTTTTATTATCATATTTATTGACATGGGAATAATTATCTCGACAACAGTCAAAAATTTCAATAATGGTACATTTTCAATTTGTCGCCTAGCCCTACGTCACACTATGGCAAAACCACACAAACCACGTTGGGGCCCATTTCTTTTCCAGGTGAAGAGCTAAAATCAACGTCAGATTCTGCCAACAAAAGGGCCCTAAAACAATTCATATGTAAATATTTTGCATATTTATTGCAACATCTAATTTTTCACTGCTTCAGTGCTGCGACAAGGTTTTATTAATAAGACATTATTACTGTATACCTTTTGTTTTACTACAGCATCGGTACGCTTCCTGTGCACAGATTATTAAGGATGCTTGTTTCAGATGTGAGATTAGATGAAAGGATCAATGAAAACATAAGTTTGCCATGGACTCCATGGAAACCTTCAGAGAATGCACAAATAGTGGCTTTCAGATGGTTTTGTTACGGACAGATTTTTGTGAGTTTAGAAAAGAAGCAGATGAGACGGCGTGTATGACGGTGTGATGTTTTTCGTCGGACAATATTAGAACATGTCAGTAATGTCTGAGGGGTTATAACTAACACTCCTGGACACGGTAGGAATTACACACAGACTTCTGGGGAGGGGGGTCATTTTGCCTTGGCCCCCAAAATACCTTGAAACGGCCCTGGGTGTGTGACTGAGTGTTGAAGGTGATCTGAATTGTATCAGATGTATAAATATTACATGTGTATAACTTATTGTTTTATACAGGTAGAAACGTGTAGTGGAGATAGATCTACCTACATTTTACTTTGTTTTCTTGTTTTTATTTAACTATTTCCTGTCCTGTCTGTCTCTCATCTTCCTGCATCTCCTCTAAACTCTCCAGAAAAACTGCTGCCTGGATTCTTACTTTTTCACCTCATCAGTTACTTCTGAGCAGATCAAAGGGATCTCCTGACCGCAAAGCGGAGCGCGTTTCGATGCTGCGTCAGTGACACAGCGTCAGTGAGATGAAATCACCGCAGCACACGATGAGCGGAGCACGTCAGGGACGATTAAAAGACAGAGTACCAGAGGATATAAACGGATATGATCAATCATGTGTTAATAATAATGTTTTGTTGCGCCACTTTGAGAATATATCGTGTGCCAGACGCAGCGGGGGCGCACCAGCGAGCAGCGCTCTGCGTCCTCTCCACTCAACATAATCCCGCTACGCTGAGAGTCCATAAATATTGTAATGTAGGCAGAAACTAGATCTTTCCCTGAAAGATATCTAGCCCCCCACAATTCGATCCCTGCTCCTGGATGAAAAACCGGACATTTTGATCAATGTAGGAAACCCCCCGGACGCCCCGGACAGAGAGTGAAAAGTGGGCATGTCCGGGGAAAAGAGGACGTATGGTCACCCTACCCAAGTCCCATAATTCAGTTCTGGATATGAAGCAAACAAGGAAGTGGCAAAAACTGCAGTTCCACCATCATCCACTAGGGGCTGGAGTCAGAAGTGAGTAAATCCTCATTGACTCCCATGTTAAAAATGCCATTTTCACAGAAGAAATAAACATGTTTACAGCCTGGTCACAAAAACATATTTACGGTGTAGCGTTAAGGGCTGGCTACATATGTATTACATGATCAATAGCCCGAAGAGAGTTCACGCAGTACCACAGTAACCCCAACCATGGTCGGACCGTCGAACGCTTCACAGTCGCCGGAGGCAGAGCAAAGGAGATGT